CCTTAGAGTTTTATTCATGCAATTAGCACAAACCAAAGAATCAGGATTTCCTTGTTTTAAGTGAGAGGTTTCAGAATCTCATTGTTAGAAGGAAACCTAGAATCAGAGTCAGCCACCTTGAATACTGCTGACACACCTCCAAGACTTTGTTTTGTGGTGGAGGAACCATTCTGGTGCCATGTGAATTTAGGTGCAAACCTTTCACACCTGGCTACTTTCCTGCTGGTGCAAATTCCAGGGGGCTGAGTCCACTCTTGGCCAAGGAGGCTGGTGTGGCTTATGGGACCCTTACTCTTGTTTTTTATCTCAACCCTTGTAGGGATTTACTACAGACACTGACCGAGGAGGAGCTGCACACTTTGGAGCGAAACCTCTGCATTTCCCAGGATGTGGAGTTCTCCATCCGAGCGGACGTGCAGGTGCCTGCTGTCCTGGCCCCTACCTTTCCTGCACCCCTTCCCCCTGAGGAGCAGCACTCAGCTAAGGCCCAAGACTCAGAGGCAGAGCTGGCCTGCTCCATGCAATATGATGACCAGGAGCTGGAGCAGCTCAGTCGCATGGTCCACAGGGCTGGGGACGAGATGTCCTCTCTGCTGTCACCGCCCAGTGCCTGCCAGTCCCCAGCACACAGGCCGGGAGCAGAGGGCAGCCCATGTGGGGAGGCCTCTCCAGGCAGAGCGCACCTACAGGTGGACAGCAACGAGGACCGTGTGTTCTTTATGGATGACGTGGAGGGCACAGCAGATGCCCCTGCCAGGCCTGAGTCCCCTCAAGGTCCATTTGAGTGGTCAGATAGCACCCAGCCCGACCCCCAGGAGAGAGGTCAGGGAGGCCAGAGCCGAGGGGCTGAGGTCACTGCTTCCATTGCGGAAAAGGAGGACCTGAGCAACAACAACAACGACATGGGGGATGGCGGTACACATGTGGCCAGCCTCCTGGGCTCCAACTCCTGCAGCTGCCTGGACTCGCAGCTTTACCTGGACGGCTGGGAGGTGGGGACAGATGACGCCGAGACAGCCGAGATGATCGCCCACCGCACGGGGGGCATGAAGCTCTCAGCCACTGTCATCTTCAATCCCAAGTCGCCCAATTCCTTGGACTCTGCCACCACTACCCAGGAAACCCCAGGCCTGGGTGCTTCCCCTTCTGGGCCTGTGGCTGAGGGCACAGAGGGCAGCTCCCACAGACTCAGCACTGCAGCCACTGACTGCCTGCTGCATTCCTGTGTATGCTGTGGGAGCTGTGGGGACAGCAGGGAGGATGCTGCAGAGTGCCTGCGGGAGAAGTGCCACCCCGGGAGCATCATCGGTGCCTCTTACACAGCTGGCTTAGCCAAGGCCGGCAACAAGGGCCCTGACAGGCAGGACAAAGCCTGGCCTGTCTCTGAGGGCCCCCTGCCCACAGAAGACACCTGTGACACACAGGATCCCAAAGCCCCCACTCCCAGTAGCTGCCTGGCACAGACCTCAGGTTCCCAGGTGGATGCAGCAAATGGGTCTCAGGGAGAGGCTGAGGTCACCGGTCAACAGCAGGGACTAGAGGCCAGACAGCAGGATAGCAGGACATCGACAGCCCAGGGGGAGCTGCAGCAGCCACTGGGCTCCAGGTAAGAGTCGATCTGCTTGAGGTATTGGCCTCATCCTCTCTGCATTCAGTGCTCATCATGTCGGCAAAATCCTGGAAGTATTGAAATGTCTCCACCTGGGGCTTCCTGGCCACCAGTAGGTGCTGCGCCCAAGCCAGAGTGTGATCCTCTGTGTGGCGGGCAGGCAGTGAGCTGAGCCCATCCTATTGGAAGTTAAGCAGCCAAAAATTATGCCCAGTGTCTCCAAACTCTGCATTTCTGATGGTACAGGTGCCTGTGCCAGTATCCAGCCATCGGCCCACCTTCTTTCACTGCCCTGGTGTAAGCAGCATGTGGTATCCCCAGACCACCCTTGGGCCAGTTCCCAGGCCATGTCCCCAGATGCCAGTACCTCCCAGTACTGTCCCATCCCCTCCCTCTGAATGAATCTCCCCTCCTGTCCCTTCCCCAATATAGGCAGGCAGCTGGGCTTGGCGCCCATCACTCAGTGGTTAGTGCACTGGCTACATGCACCGAGGCTGGCGGGTTCAAACCCAGCCTGGGCCTGCTAAACAACAATGACAACTGCAACAAAAAAATAGCCAGGCATTGAGGCAGGCACCTGTAGTCCCAGCTACTTGGAAGGCTCAGGCAAGAGAATTGCTTAAGCCCAAGAGTTTGAGGTTGCTATGAGCTGTGACACCATGGCACTCTACTAAGGGGTGACATTGTAAGACTCTGTCTCAAAAAAAAAAAAAAAAATCAAGGCAAGCAGCTGGGAAGACAGTGAGGTGGGTGTGCAAGACCTGGGGCAGGCACTTCCCTTGAACTGCAGGCTGCTTTCTTTCCTCGTTCCTCACCCCCCTGAACAAAATAGATTATTGACCCAGCATTGGAGCTAAGAAGGGAAATGCAGGTGCTGGGCCAGCCACAGTGGATCACAGTTCACTGGTGGCTGAATGGTCAGAGCGTCTGGGCCTCTAAGCAGGACTCCGCTTTGCGAGGCTCCCACCCTGGCTACAGGTGTGTCCACTGGCCTCTCTACCAAGGCAGGAGGTATAAGCACAGGGAGCCAGAAAAGCTCCCAGGAGCCATGGGAGCTGGGCACAGAGGACAGACACGAGCTGGGGCTGGGAGGGCCACAGGTGCACTCAGGGAGGTGTCCTCACTCTTGGAACAGTGCCCTGTGGTCAGGCCAAGCACTCCCTCCTCCTGTGCCTTAGGCCCCTGGGGCACCACAAGGCTGTGTCCTCCAGGGCATTTGCCCAGGCAGGTGTCGGGACCTCAGGGGCTGTCAGGGCTGCGTTTCCTCCCAGCTTCTGCGCAGAGCTCCACGGCCTCTGCGGTGTGGGCTGTTCTGGCTCCTGGGGTCAGCAGTAGCTGCTCCCATCCCCTGCCCAGCCCCTGACAACTCTCAGCTACTCCCTGTCTCTGTGGATTCGCTGCTTCTGGACACATCCTGTGAATGGAATCACTTCCAATTTTTGGCTTTATGATGGTGTGAAAGCTGTACACCTTCAGAGAAACTATACTTTGAATTTTGAAGGTTAGGTGTATTAAATGCATTTTTAAGTTGTGACATTTTCAAGGTACAATGAGTCTGTCAGGACATAACTCATCACGGATCGAGAGACATCAGTAATACATGACCTTTTGTCCCCTGCTTCTGTCTCTGAGCACAGTGTGCTAAGGCTTGTCCAAGCTGAAGTATAAATTAGTCTTCATTCCTCTTTGAGGCTTAGTAATGTCCACTCTCTGAGGACACCATGTTTTGACCATTCTCCAGCTGATGGATGTGTGTGTTGTCTCTACTTTGGGCTACTACGAGCAGTGCTACTGTGGGAATTTGTGTTCAAGTGTTTGTGTGGACATGTGTGTTCAGTTCTGTGGGGATTGTCCCCAGGAGCGAGTTTGTGGTTTATGTGGTGACTCTGTGACAACTTCCTAAGGAACTGTCAACCTGTGTTTCAGAATGGCTGAAGTTTGCATCCCACCAGCTGTGCACAAGGGTCCCAGTTTTTCCACATCCCCACTAACACTCATTACTATCTAAGCTTTTTTTTTTTTTTAACATATTTTACAGATAGTTTTGTCCTTAGGGTGTATCCCACTAAAATATACAGTCAACTGATTGTTTTAACAGCACTTAAAATCATTCCTCTCCTGAGGTTATGCCACCAGTTTTATTCACGGTTAAGTTACTTTGTTCCATGTAGTAGTAGATTTATAGAGATTTTATACAGATTGCTATTTTCATATAACTCAGTTTTATAATTTGTGGAAGACTTGCTTGGTTCCCAGTCAAATCTAGACAATAAAGGGACTTTATTTCCTCCCACCACTAAAGGGAACAATTTAAAATTTGTTCGTAGTTTATCCTGTTTGTAGATAGATACACACCACATTTTGCCCCCTCCCGTTCGTAACAGTGCTGCAAACACTGCTCTCCGCTCGCCTTCCTGGCCTCCAAGCCCAGAGCCTGCCTGGTGCTGACTGCGATTGTCCTTCATTTCCCGTCTAGCCGAGTAGGGCCCAGCTGTGTGCCTGGGCCAGGATGTGCTCAGTCAGGCTTTGCTGCTGGCCATGGGGTTGTTTCTGGACTTTTGCTGTTACAGACAGTGCTACAACCACAACCTCTCCTGTTTTTCGATAAGACTATTTTTGAGATGCTGCCCAAGCTTCGTGACCATGTTAAACAGTACACATTTTGTCCTGACAGGCTCCTTGGTGGGCCTCAGACTTAGGTCATGGGTAAGTGCATCGTTTATCTTCAGAGTTGACGTGAAGCTGTCCTGAACCCTTTGACAGGCTCGGAGGAGTTTCCAGGTTTGGCCTGCACTGTTTTTGTTGTTTGTCCAGGTGACAACCAGCAGACACCCACCCATCTGGAAGCTCCTCCCATCCTTCTGACATGATCTTTGTACCCCACAGTGGACATGGCCCTTCATACAGCTGAGAAGTCCTTGGCCTCATTCAGCTCAGCACAAAACCCTGTACTTCAGTGAAGAAAAGGCAAGAGGGCCTGTAAGTGGCCTCAGAGGCAATGCTATGTTCCAAGGAAGAAAGCACATGGCAAGTGGCCAGGAGACAGGGACAGCCATGCATTTGGTCTGGACCCCTAGACAGTGGTGCCAGGGCCCAGGACTGTTCCTGGAGGTAGCTGGGAACAGGTCAGCCTAGTGGCAGCAGGTCAGACCTCCTCCCTTCATGGGCAGTACTTACACTGGAGCCTCCTCCATTCACCATCCATCCATTTCTCAAGCATGTTCCAGAATGGCCGAGCCAGGCGGCTCAGACCCACTGAGCAGCAAGAGATGGAGCCTGTCCCCTTGGAGTGTAATGTGGCACCCGTGCTGAGGGGATCTGCAGTGTGCATTCTTTTTTTTTTTTTTTTTTTTTTTTGAGACAGAGCCTCAAGCTGTCCCCCTGGGTAGAGTGCCGTGGCATTACAGCTCACAGCAACCTCCAA